TAAGGACAGGGTAATTTAGAATAATTTTAATTCCCAATTCAAGGCCATTTTGGGGTTATTTCCTATGTAAACTACAATTTAGGGTGAGATCGGATGAGGCCGCTTTAGTTTGCCAGTGTGTAGGATTGCGGTTTTGGCCTGGCGCTTAGGGTGTACGATTTGTCGGGGTTAGCGTTTCCAATTACAAGTTCGGCCACAGAGTGTGAACAAGGCATCTTTTCCCTTAACTTCACAAAGAGAGGCTCTCATCAACTTCTGTTTGGGTAGTATAGTGACAACAAGAATTCGGGCAACAATGGAATGACCACAACTAAAAAATGTCAAGAAGACTAGAGAAGCCACTGGGCAACTGCTTCAACTTGACCAACGCAACACTACTACTTTAAACAAAGGCAAGACTAGTCTAAAAGGGATGGCCTAATAATGAACTGGCAGGGGGTGGGGGTGGGGGTTCTGGAAGTATCATTTAGTATTCAACTGATTAATTACTTGAATGATCTCAATTGACTCCATACGAATATTCAACTATTAATTCCTGTAATTGATTCATTGGTGTAGTCCATCAATTGTTGATTTTGCATGGAGTGCAGAAGGATTTTAAAGGCAGCCGTGTCGAAGTATGCGTATGTAACTCTTTCAAATTAATCCCCCCAATATTACATAAATTTTCGAACACCAGATTATGTAATATTTGCAGGGGAAGGGTGGGGGGGAGGGAACATCGTTTAGTGTTAGGGAAAAGGGAGATTACCAACGCGCTGAAAGAGCAATGCCAACCATGGTAGCGCAATTACAAGTAATGCTGATAACGATCAATTAAACCGACTGATCAGATCAACAGTTGAGATTCTTCTTGATGCGGCTGTCCGAATTTCGCTGGACAAGTAGAGCCCTAAACCCTACACCGTTCCACACACCTAAAGGGCTAGAATAAGGTTCAAAGCCTTCAGATTCCCCCTGAATGCAGATTTGGATGTCTGATGGGACATCCTCTGTAACTGAATGTATGCAGATTGGGGTCCCTCATTTTGGGAACCTACCACATGGGTACATCATGTAGCCCTGACAGGCCGACAGTTTCCTGTACGCCGCTCTCTGATGGCTTAAGGTGCTGCCCAGAGTCGTGCCTCTTGTTTGGGACCGGAGTGGCAGCCGTATCTTCGGGCCCACCGCCCCAGAGAAGCTCGGCCACTTCCATGTGCTGGTTGCGGCAAGCCATCAAATACGCACTCTCTCCCCATGCATCGGTTGCATTCTTGTCAGCCCTCTGCTCCAAAAGCAGGTGCACCAGCATCTTGTAGCCGGTGCAAGAAGCAGCGATCAGAGGGGTCTGCATACTTGGCCCCGACTTCTCGATGTCCGACTTAGCTTCGAGCAAGAGGCTCACCACGTCGACTTGGTTACGCTTACCTGGATGGTCCATATGGCACGAGAACCAAACTGCATGTGCATTTGATTTTCTTGGCCTTGACTCTTCAAAAATGCGTAAGCTAGTCTCATCAAAAAGATCCAGTGGCATGCCCGGATGAGAGGGGTATCACCTTTTTCGGTGACCAGGTCCATCTGGGCACCAGCCTCCAGCAACAAACGCGCCACCTCGAAGTAGCCGTCACAACAGGCATAGATGAGGGGTGTGTCTCCCGAGCAATCCTTGGCTAACTTTACGGCCCCTCCTCCTCAAGTGAAACTGAAGCCTCTCCCAAACCGACGGTCCCACGAGCCAGGCGAAAGGCAGCCTAGAGTCAGTAGAGTCGACCTGCGCCTCTGATTCCAGCAGTAGCTTTGCCATGTTTGCATGGCCTTGTTTGGCTGCCGCGCTTAAGGCCGTGGTGCCGCAAACCTCGGGAAAATGATCACCATCTAGTCCGCGCAAGGATCTCGATAATAGTACGGCATACACTCCCTAGAAGGAACCCTACAATACATATTTCCATCTAAAACCTATGACTCGATGAGAAACGCTAAACTCATCTGTTCCTTCGATCCCTGCCTGACCCCTACAAGGAACCGAGTATATATAAATTCTGCCTAAATTGGGCCCTGATGTCAAAAAATCCTACTTTGGGTGATCTGTATCCCAAGGTCTATAACAGTACCTAAATTGGCCCCTAAGGTCAAAAAAATCCTACTTTGGGTTATTTGGATCCCAAGGTCTATAAACAGTACCTAAATTGGCCCCTAAGGTCACAAAAATCCTACTTTGGGTTATTTTGGATCCCAAGGTCTATAAACAGTACCTACATTGGCCCCTAAGGTCACAAAAATCCTACTTTGGGTTATTTTGGATCCCAAGGTCTATAAATCGTACCTAAATTGGGCCCTAATGTCAAAAAACTCCTACTTTGGGTTATTTGGATCTCTAAATCCTAAACCTTAAACCCACCCTAAACCCTAAATCCTACATGTTAGAGGCTACGCCTTGATGCGCCAGCGCAGCATTTTTTTCTGGCAAAAGCCATAGCGGCAGATCATTGCACAAGCAAAGCGAAGTTCAAGTAAATTGGTCGTTTTTAGCTATTTAGCTTAGACCATGCTGCGGTTTAATGCAGAGAAAACGCCCGTGCCACAAGAAAGGGACAGATGAGGCCCACAAGCTTAGAACAGGCACAGAACAGGCACTGGAGGCCCGCAAGAGCAGAAGAGGCCCAGAAATTCTGAAAAGGCACCGAAGCCCAGGAAAGGCCCAGAAGACTTTCGGGGCAAATAAGAAACCAAAAAAAAAGAAAATGCCTATACAAGGCGCCGCACCCAACAGGTGAGAAAGTCTATGGAAATCAAATTTGATTTCCGGAGCTGGGCCAAAGAGGTGAGGAAATGCTTGGAGGCTGTCCTGTACCAGCCGTTTGGAGGCTATCCTTTAGGAGCTGTTCGGAGGCTATCCTTTAGACCCGGTTGTAGAGCCGTTTGGAGGCTATTCTTTAGCAGCTGTTTGGAGGCTATCCTTTAGGCCCCCTTTGAGCCAGCGAGTGTCCAGGGCGCCCGCTGCGCTGGCGAACCCTAAACCCTAAACCCTGCACCCTAAACCCTAAACCCTAAGCCCTGAACCCGAGCCAAGTCACCGTGCGCTTCTCCAGCTCCGCCCTGGCATGCAGCAAAAGTTCAGCGATCTCCTGATGTCCTTCCTGGTTTAGGATTTAGGGCTTAGGGTTCAGGGTTCAGGGTTTAGGGCTTGGGGTTTGGGGTTTGGGGTTTAGGGTTGAGGGTTTTGGGTTTAGGACTTAGGGTTCAGGGTTTGGGGTTTAGGGTTGAGGGTCCTGTGCTGCCGCCAGGAGCGGAGTGGTCCCCGCCTGCCAAGCTTTGGGCCGGGGTACATGTGTACATGTGGGGATATGTAGGAATACAGAGGGGTATATGGCGATATAAAGGTGTGTGCATATATATACATATACATATGCATATGCCACATATGTATAAATATGTATGTGTGTATGAAGTGGTGTACAAGGGTACGGGATCTAGGATTTGAAAGAACAAACTAGAGCCGCAACAAACACAGCTGTTAATTTTAAAGGATCTTACACAATGGAATGCTGCTTGAACCCCTAAAATTGCAATTCTTCCGGCACGTTGAGTGGGGGAAGACTTCTTCCGTCAACCGCAAGAATCATGAGTCCCTAGCTACCCCGCCGCCTGGACTACCTCAGCCCAGGTTCCCCTTATTTGAGGTATAGTCGAAACTCCTAGCATCCCAAGTAATAACCCCTGTAGTAGCTCTCTACATTGTAACCCCTGATAACAACCCTTTAAGGCGTTTAAATTATGGGTCATTTGGCCTTTTAAAGCTACGTAAAGCGAACAAGAAGAGCAACTTCAGTGGGGGTGGCACTCAATTAGCTGGGGAACCCATGCGATGACTAGCCTGTGATGACCCCGCAAGCTGCATACCGGATAGCAGTAGACATCAAAACCCGCTCAAGTTACTTGCAAGAGTGCAGCTGAAGTCCATGCCCAGGAGGGCCTCCCCAGACCCTAAACCCTAAACGCTAGACTTATAAATCCTAGACCCTAAACCCTTTACCCAAACTCAACCCGCAGCAAGGAAACCTTGGTCTGAGAACCAAACAGATTTGAGTAGCATTTTGGTGCTTGAACCAAGTAAGATTATATTGGTTTAGGGTTTAGTGCTTAGGATATGAAATACTATAGGTAAGAAGAAGATATAATCTTGCTCTGTATTGGGTACCATAGCCATAGTCTCTCCATATCAAATACTATTCGGATGTTTCTGGGGGTCCTTACCGTGTAGCACTCCGAACCCTCTGAAACCTTGGATGCTTCGGGGCTTAGGGTATAGGAAGGTTTTGACACTAGCCGGCTCAGAATCTTCAAATATCATGTTCTCGGTCTCTATTGCAATACACGTAGCGGCTTTGGTATCGTGAATAAACCTGCATTTTGGGCCACGCGGATCCTTGCGCTTGCCTTTTTGATAGTAAGGAGCGGAGGAATGGATCCCATCAGTAGTCTCTATGGAATCTGAATAATACAGCTGCTTCCACGTTGTGTTGAACTTCTAGATTTCCTACTAGCAGCCCGCAAGAACCTTCTAAACCGTTCACCCCCTCAAACCCTAAACTCTAAACCCTAAACCCAATGAAGCCCTAAACCCTAAACCCTGAAGGGGGGGGGTTCGGGATGGGACTTCATGCCTTGTCAACCTCGTTCACCCTGGCGCCAGCTGCTAACAGCATGCTTACAATGCCTTCATGGCCGTTCCTGGTCGGCTGCGATGGGTGAGACATTCCCAACCTCCTTATGGGTTACTCTTGGAATCTAAATAGCCCAATGTAGGTAATATCTATAGACTTTAGGGCCCGATGTAGGTACTTTTTTTGTATACGCGAATCCCTCGGGGTACTGTCAGGGATGATGTGGGACTTCACCGGGTTTCCAACAAAAAAGCTTCCCTCGCGTTCGCTGCTGCAGTTTAAATTATCATGCAACACCTATGTTTCTCAAGGCCACTCGCAGGACTATCAAAACACCGTGTAGGGCTCTAGGGGCTTCAGGGCATGCAGTATGGATTTTTGGGTGGAAGCTAGAGTATTCAAGCTCAACACTTACGACTTACACGTACACCTGTATTCCTGGCCACTCTATGAGGTTTAAGGTTTAGGGTTTTAGGGCTTAGGGTTTAGGATCTGGTTTGGGGCTTAGGGGCCACTCCATGAAAATGCCCGAGCTTCGTAGAAGCAACGAAGAGGGACGTGAGACCATGGACATCACTGTGATTCCTTGGCTAACTCGGGCCTAGGGTTCCAGGTACCTAAATACTGGGTTCAGGGGTCCTAAACCCTAAACCCTAAACCCTAAACCCAAATAGTTATATGGGCCAGTAGCCTACTACTTTGGTAAGTGGGAGCCCTGGGGAGGGATATGCAGGGTGCCAATGATGAACGTCTATGCCAAGCCTGGTGTATGGAACCGCCACCATATTTGAAGTAATTACGTCTTCGAAGATTGTTGGATATCCTCATATAATGATGCATAATGTCTGCAAGATATTTGGATTTATGGTTATATACATATATGTGTATGTAAATGTGTATACATATATATATATTCATTTATCTATATGTATGCATATATATATATATATGCGTATACGTATATGACTTATAGTCTAGACTCTTGGTATCCCCTTTTCATCCCCCTATCATACTCCCCTATATTAACACCGATATAACTCCGTTTGAGGAGCTTAGACTATAGCTCATGATATGCATACAAATATACTGCCAACCTTACATCCGGATGTGTGTAAGGAGCTGCACTCACGCTGTTTGACAGGACGAATGGAACACCCTGAGCCTCGGCCGAACCGCGCCCTTAGACTGAGGAACCATTAACCCATAAACCCTATGTAACCCGGATAGAACTTATATCTAATCCCGGAGCTGCATAACCCCTACACGTTCCCTCATATTCCTGGGCTTCCCCGCATTCATGGCATCCAATCCGCCAGTTCCGTGATATTTCCATGTGATTCCCTACTGTCCCTTTACCTTTTACATCTCCATATTTCCCACCCTAAGCCGTAAGCCTAAATAGTGTAATAGTTTCTATTTTCTTGTCCATTCCTATAGTATGCAAGTTATCCCTTTGTATCCTAATTATATAACTCACGAAATCTCCAGCTCCACATCTAGGGTTGGTTTGGGAGCCCCATAAAATAGGTGTTTATGGCTATGACAATATACTTATATAGGCCCTAAACCCTAAGACCCTAAAACCCTAATCCCTAAACCTCTCATTATATATAGGGATTCAGGGGAACAAAAATTAAAAATATTTCAGATCTCCCCTGACATCCTCAACCTTTGCGGCCTCTCCCCATAGCAAGTCTAGCTAGCTCTTCCTGGTTTAGGGTTTTCTTTCGGGCATAGAAACAACTACCAAGACCCTGCCGGTACCCTTAATTGGGGTTGTACGGCCTCTTATAGTTGACTGCATATAGTCTAGGTATAGAGATCTTCCTGAAGATGCTAGATAGTTGTCAAGGACTGTGGGTTCCAGCTGTTGGACTGCCTAAAACCTTCAACAATTGCCTAAACCCTTAACCCGGCAGTCGCACAAGTTTGGGTTCCGGTACAGCTTCTTGTAGACCTAGTCAGAAGCGTAGGCTCGTGACGCAAACTCCACAACTATGAATGCTTTCTGTGAACACCTTGACTTCCCTGCTAACCAATTGTGGTTATGTAGCATATATAAGAACATTGGAGACTATGGTATCCTTCATAAATACTACTTATCAACCACCTGACTGGTTCTATGTAGGAAAAATGGGAATATACTATATAGGGATTATATAAGGATGATATAGGGATTATATATGGATTC